GGCCCATCGGAGAGCTGGCGTGAGAAGGCCCGCACGTCTGCTCCACTCGCGAGGTGGGACAGGAGCCCCGTGTCTCCGGCAGAGTCCTAGAAATGTGGCCTCAGCTCTGCCATTTCGTAATGATGACGTTTTTTACAGTTGTTCCATCTAAGTTACCGACAGTTGTTCACGGGTCGGGAGGCTGATTTATTATTTACTTTTCCTCAGCCGTCTCTACGTTGACTACGGTGGTCTTGATCGTCCTCACGTTTGTGGCCACTCCAAAGAGGATCGCAGCTAGGAAGGCATACAAGCGACCAAAGACCACTCGCAAATACACCACCGTTTCTATATTTTGTGATACTCTCCGCATCTTACTCGGAGGGGGTCCGCTGTTGATACTCCCGCCGGCACCCCTGTGCAAGCACGATGGAGGGTCCCAGCCTACGTGGCAGTGGCAGTTCTTTGCATTGTTGCAAACTCCTCTGTGACTGCATTTCGAAGGGTAACAGTCATATACTATTGCAGATATGCTGCCATTGCAGTAGGTATTGAGACAGAATTTTCCCCTGCCACACGGAGTGCCAGATCTCACGAGACCCACATCAGTTGTTTCTGTCGCACGGTGAAGGTCCACCCCAAAGCACAAGACCCCCGATATCAGGGACTGATGGAATCCGACGTGCTCCTGCAGCTGGGGCAGATGCGTGACGTTGGTGCACTGCAGCCGTCCACACTGAACGTCCGAGGGGCCGCAAGCCTCGGGCTGGAAAAGCATAGCTGCTCGTCTGCAGTGTCCAAATCGGTGGCCTCGTTCGTTTATGCTGTAGCAGCTGTCTGGACCCTTCAGCGCGCCTTCGCCAAAGATTTCTTGGCAGTGCATGGTGCGGTCCGTGCAGTTCCCGTGGTAGCAGTAGCCCTCCTCGGTGCACGGGGTTCCGTCCTGCAGATAGAAGTCGTCGGGGCACTGGAAGCCGCTCCCCGTGCAGTACTCCGGAAGGTCGCAAATGTTCTGGATTGGTCTGCAGAGCACCCCCGGGGCGGCTTGGGTGCAGTTTACACAGCATCTGCCTGTGTCACAAGAGCTTCCTCTTGGAAACGTGCAGTCACTTTTACAGCACGGGTCATTGTAACACCTCTTGAAGGAGCCACAGTCACACTGCTCCGTTTCGTCCACCACATTGTCTCCACATCGAGCGACTGAGTAGGTTCTATTAGTATACACTATGTCAGTCATGTAGAGGCACTCTGCTCCACGATTACCAAATACGTTTTGTACGTGAGCAAAGGAACAGTTACTGAAGGCATCTGTCAACACGGGGTAATGGTACATAATGCAGGTGGCCCTCCTCTGGCAAACACACGTGTTTTCGTCATAA